TCAAGAAGTGTATTGTATGGAGAAGAGTTAATTACATTTTTCTCCTCCAAAAACATAATAGCTTCTGTAAATTTAATTAATTTGCAAAAACCGTTTACTATATCCAAAAAAGTTTCTTCTTCAGGCGACAAGCCACAATCTATCATCTGTTCAAAAAGTTTTGTAGCATCATCCAAATGAAGATATTCACACAAACAATTTATCAAAGCCGCACAAGTAGCTGAATATGGAAAAATGTTAGAAGCTCTCATCATCCTAAACAACTTCATGCCTACCTGTATATTCTACAACCTACAAAATATAGGTATTACACAGATATAGAAACTCAAATCTGGCTCACATCCAATTTGAAACATCTCGTGAAGCAAAATAATCGATTCTTCCACTTGATTTCTAGCAACAAGACTACTAATGAGTATCTCAAAAGTCCTACCACTAGGATTACATCTTTTTTTATGCAATCTTTTGTACAGATCCAAAGCTGTATAAACTCTCCCAGTCTCAAACAATGAATCTAACAGGTAGTTCATAGTATCGATATCTGGAAGAATTCCTGATTTCACCATTTCTTTATAGACAAACAACACATCCTTAAATTCTTTCTTTTCCTCCAAAAGTGCACCCATTATGGTATTAAATACACTTATAGAGGGCTTAAAACTNAAACAACACATCCTTAAATTCTTTCTTTTCCTCCAAAAGTGCACCCATTATGTTATTAAAGACACTTATAGAGGGCTTAAAACTTCTTAAATTCATAAAATAGAGAACCCTTAAAGTTTCATTGAGCCTATGATTTTTAATAAATGAATCTATCAATGCCAAGAGAGATTATCCGAAACACGAGCATTTATCATTTACCATCTCATTACAAAATCCCTCCATTTCTTTTACATTTACATAATTATGTCTCTAAAGTCAGATAATTTAATATTCAAACATTCAAAGTTGTTTCAGAAGTAGATGTAGATAATATTATTTCAAGAAACACCAGCTTGATAGCCTGTAACACAAGTATGATTTGAATTGAATTTTATTTGTTTAGACTAACCACTACATGGAACATCACAATATAAACACAGTACTAACCTGCAATACACAAGAAATGTAATACTTGATAAATCCAGTCACGAGCTTATGCAAAAAACTATCAGAAGCATATGTGCTCTCGATCAACCTTGTGTCGGTCAGTTTCAGAAATAGTGACCAGAAAACATACCGTAAAGAAAAAGGGAATGCATACCTAATTGATGAATAATTTGAGGGAGAATATCTTGCAATTAATAAATGAATATATGTCATTTAAATTCATAATTACCTAACATAGCATAAGTTGAGGGCAGTATAGTTCTTTCATATGTCCACCCAACACTGATACTTTGACATAAAATCTAGCAACTGTTAGCTATCCAAAACAACCAAGAATGCAATGGAAAAAATATTCTGGTCATCTACCTAAATTTCCAAAACAATAATCAACAAGAAAATTTAACTTATGTTATTGACTGTTCTTCAAGATTTGTCAATCAGAATGCTTGATCTTAAAATTTTGCTTTAATCCATCTGTTTCAAATGAAAACTCTTCATATTATTCACAAAAAGAAATAGAAAAAGAGAAATCAAATTAAATCTAACTACTTAATCACAGAAAATGAATGGGAATGGCATGTGCCGTGTCCTATATTAGAAATTATAAAAATAGAGATATAATATATGAACTTAAAATTTTAAAAAATTTAAATGGATGTGTCCCCAATGTACATGTGTCTGTGCAACTTAGGGGGTTGGGGAAATGTGGGAAAGGTTGGGGTGATTGGACTGGTTGGGAGAGCAGGGGGAGGGAGATTGCGTAGCGTGGATAGGGCAGCAGTTAGGGTAGGGATGGGAAACCATCTATAATCAATGTAATTTTGTTTGCTTATGATTTATGAATGTACTCTGCATAAAACCAGAATTGTCCATCTTTTGTCTATTTTGACCTAGGTTCAACATATTGTGAAGTACAACCGGGATGGTTCTCCTGTTCAAAGACTGAGGATGAAGGCCATAAAAGTTCATTCAAAGAATATAGCATCAAGGAGCTTTTGGAAGGACTACTTGTGTCTTTGTAAGGAGCTTGGACAATTTGAAGAGGATGTTAACAAGATTAAACCTGACTATGTCAAGTCTTTCCTTCATGGAAGCAAGTTGATGCCATCAACTTGGATTGTTATTCGCATTGATGGTTGCCATTTTCATAGGTAAATCACTTCAAGCGTTAAAATAAATAACGAATATTCAGTGAATCTGTTAACTTACCTCATACATGATACAACTCATGCAAAACATTTTTTCAGCAAGAGAAAAGAGAAAGAGACCACCAATAAAAGAAACAGATCTAGATGTACCTCCAACAGCTTCCCTTTCCCTAAAAATTGCTTATATCTAAACGCACAAAGAATAAGTAGACACAGTACGATAGCATAGGTTGATCTCAAGCTTCCTAGAAAATAAAAAAACAAGTCAAGTGATAAGACAGGAACCAATACCCAAATGCTAATCTAGAATTAAGGAAAGAAGAAACAAAAATGAAAAAGCTTAGTCACCGTTGTAGACTGAGATTAGCAAGCGTTTCCTGGCTGCAGAAAGACAAGCTCATGAGGTTTCATTCCAACCTTTAGAGAGAATCTTGCATCCAAATAGAACTTCAATTCTGGAACACACTCGATAGCTTTTAATAAATCTGAATCAATAGCTTTTTGGTCATCTTTCTTCTCTGCTGGGAGCACATTCTTCTCCTACATT